TGCTTGGGTTGGGAGAAATGGATAGAAATGAGGAGACTTCCCAGCTTGGGCTGGATCTGACATACTTGGATTGGGAGAAACGGATAGAAATCGATAGAATTCCCAGTTCAGGCTGTGTCTGACGTGCTTGTATTGGGAGAAATGGATAGAAATAGGGAAAATTCCCAGTTCAGGCTAGGTTCGAAGTGCTTGGATTGAGAGAAGTGGATAGAAATGGGGAGAGTTCCCAGTTCAGGCTGGATCTGACACGCTTGGATTGGGAGAAGTGGATAGAAATGGGGAGAATTGCCAGTTTGGGTTGGATTGAATGTGCTTGGATTGGGAGAAATAGATAGAAATGGGGAGAATTCCCAGTTTGGGCTGGGTCTGACGCACTTGGATTGGGCGAAGTGGATAGAAATAGGGAGAATTCCTAGTTTGGGCTCGATCTGACACTCTTGGATTGGGAGAAATGGGGAGAAATGGGGAGAATTCCCAGCTTGGGCCAAATCTGACATGCTTGTTTTGGGAGAAATGGATAGAAACGAGTGAAAGGGGGAAAATTCTCCACTTCAGTCCAAATCTGATGCTCTTGGATGCTGAACACAGGATAAAAATGGGGAAAAAAGGTGGAATATTGCCCAATTTGGTCCACATGCAACATGCTTGGGAGTTTTTTCCCTTTTTCTCCCCATTTCTGTCCCATATTCCTTATCCAAGCACGTTAGATTTGGACTGAACTGAGGATTTTTCCCGTTTTCTCCTCATTCCTACCCAAGTGGGTTAGATTCCCATTGGACTGGGGAGTTTTTCCCTTTTTTTTCCCTATTTCTATCCATAGTTTGCGTCCCAGTTTGCTCTGGCTGCAGCATCCTTGGCTGCTGAACACCAGCTAGAAATAGGTAGAAAGAGGGAAAAATTCCCCAATTCCATCCGGATCTAAGGCGCTTGGATGCTGAGTAATGGATAAAAACGGGGAGAAAGGTGGAAAACGACCCTGTTTGGTCTGGATCCGACATGGGAGCCTTTCCCTTCCAGACGAGATGCCCACCACGAAGCGGACGCTGAAGATCAAGCAGGAATCTTCGGAAGACTCGCAGTAAGTCCGACAACCGCGGGATTTTATATTTTATATGATACTTATATTAAAAAAAATTACAAATCCTGGACTTTTTATCACTATTTTATTATCATCACCCTCGTGRTTGCCGTCAAGCGTTGACGGTGCCTGCAGCGCGTTGGCTTGGGGCGGATTTTGGGGGCGTTGGGGGGGATTTTGGGGATCAGAAGCCAAACTCGGAGACTTAGCCGGACTTGAGGGAATGTTTTGGGGCTGTTTCTTTCTTTTTTTTAAAGAAACGCATTAAAAAAGAGGCTCCCCGTGGAGGAAATGGGGGATTGCGCCGCCCGTTCGGCTGCTCCTTCCCGAGGGTGTTTAGCCAAAGGGGAGAGTGCCCAAAAAAACCCGGATGTTTTGAGTTACGTGGGCTCACCCTTGTCTCCGTTGCGCTTCCCGCCAGGAAGCGGGACTCGATGCAGAACATCGTGCGGATCCTGGAGTCGGTGCAGCTCAAGTGGGAGCTCTTCCAGAGCTGGACGGACTTCTCCCGCCTCCACCTCTCCAACAAACTGGCCATTTTCGGCATCGGCTACAACACGCGCTGGAAGGAGGACATCCGCTACCACTACGCCGAGATCAGCTCCCAGGTGCCGCTGGGCAAGCGCCTCCGGGAATATTTCAACTCGGAGAAGCCGGAGGGCCGCGTCATCATGACGCGGGTGCAGAAGATGAACTGGAAGAACGTCTACTACAAGTTCCTGGAGATCACCATCAGCGAGGCGCGCTGCTTGGAGCTGCACATGGAGATCGACTGGATCCCCATCGCCCACTCCAAGCCGTCCGGCGGCAACGTGGTGCAGTATTTGCTTCCCGGCGGCATTCCCAAAAGCCCCGGCTTGTACGCCATCGGCTACGAGGAGGCTCCCGCCGAAGGCGCTTCCGAGGGGGACGCGGCCGCGCGGCCGCCCGCCGAGGCGCCCCGGATCGTCTACTGTTATTTGGGAATCGCCGAGGGGCGGACGCTGCAGCAGTGCCTCTTCCTGCACTTCCAAGCCAACGGCAAGAGCCTGGGAAAGGAGTGGGGCGGCGTCAACGGCTTCTTGTCGCAGAACTGCCTCGTGGAGCCCGGCGTCTCGCCCCGCTCCGTCTACATCAAATTCGTGGAAGTGGAGAGGGATTTTCTCTCGGCCGGCTCGCTGGTCGAGTGCCTGGAAAAAGCCATCGGCTACCCCTTGAAGTTCAACAACTGACGGGCTTCCCGGCGGGAGCGCGGCGCCCTTTTCCGGGCGGCAAAGCCGGCGGACTTTGGCGAGGGGGGGGAAAAGAAACCCCCCGCCAACGGGATGCTCCGAGCCGGCATCCCGGCGCTTTTCCGTACCGGCTCCTCGGTACATTCCACATGGGACAGAACTTTATTTTGTTTTTTCCCCCCCTTTTTTTTTTTTCCCCTTGCGTTTCATACGGGAGAGAAGGAAAAAACGCCCTTTTTCTGGGTGCTTTTCCCAGTTTTTTCCCCCCTCCTCCCGCCACGTGGCGTTTTTTTCACCCGTCCGTCTCAAAAAGTGTTATTTCCACCCCAAAAAAAAGAAAAAAAAAGAGCAATAGGTGGCGGCCGGATGGATCCCGCATCCCCTCGCTGCCCAGTGTATGTGTGTATATATATTATATATATATATATATATATATATATAAAATTTTAGGTTTCCGTTTTGTTTTCCCCACATCCCCCTCTCCTCCTCGTATAGCGTCGCCATATCCACTCTTTTTTTAAAATTTTATTATTATATTATTATTTTATAAGAAAAACGTTACAGTTCCTGGCCTTTTTATTATTATTTTATTATTATTATTTTTTTCCCCCCTTCCGGCATTCGTGTTCCGGCCCCTTATATATTATTATTATTTTTTCCACGCGGGATTTTTTGTACGGATACAATCAAAGCTGTGAGAAAGCGGGATGCAGGTGGGGGGGGGATTTTGGGGGGGAGGGTTGGGCAGGAAAACAACAAAAAAAATCACATTTAATGCCATTTTTCCCAGAGCGCCCCCCCTCATTTTCGCGCTGGCGTTTTTGGGGGCATTTCCAGGGTTTTCCGTCTTTTAATTTGGGGGGGTCTCCCCCCGAAACGCACCTCATCGAGCCGTGGAAGTTGTGACGATAACGCTGAATGTGTCGGTCCTAATAAAATGGAGCAAACGCGCGCGGCGCTGTCGTGTCTGGGGGGGCTTGGCAGCGCCCGGATTAACCCCGTTCATCTCCCGCCTCGCTTTTGAGGGATTTCCTCCTTTTTAGGGATTTACTGAGGGCTCGGCTCCACCGGATCCGTTTGATTAAAGCCCTCGGGACCGCTGCTCCGGAGCCGATTAAGCCGATACGGGCGCCGGAGCCAGGAAATATCCCCATTTCCCTCCCTCGGAGCGGCTTTCCCCGGGAGAATAGCGGCTTATATGGGCATTTAATAGCATTAAAGGAGCCCCGTATCATAAGGTTATATACTAGATTAATACTAGATTAATACTAGATTAATACTAGATTAATACTAGATTAATACTAGATTAATATTAGATTAATATCTATCTATAATCTCTTAGATTATAATATTAGATTATTATCTAATATTAATCTAATATTAGATTATTATCTATCTATAATCTACTAGATTATAATATTAGATTAGATTAATATTAGATTATTATCTAATATTATTAATATAATATTATTAATATTAATTAATTAATATAATTAATATTATCTAATATTATCTAATATTAATCTAATATTAATCTAATTGGCTCAAGGCTTCTATATATTTAATATATTTAACACCAGCAGTCCCTTAATTATTACACCTATAAGCTTCATTATTTAATCATTTTGGCATTATTTTGACTTTGGCTTTGCTCCCTGCTTACCTTTACTTTCTATTCGTTATTAATTTATTAATTCTTAGTATATTTTAGTGGTTTTTATATTTATTTTAATGTCAATATATTTTATTCGATTTTTCCTTTTTTTTTATATTTTTAAGAGACTATTATTAGTTTGCTTATTACCCTTATTAATCTATTGTTTTTTGACCTATTCTCTCTTGCTTTATTTATTTTTTTAACCTCTTTTTGTTCGTCTTTGGGCGTATCTTATAAGAATAGACCTATAGGCGGCCCTATATTATAAGGGAGCGGCGTTGGCGGGCGGCGAGGCCACGCCCCCTTGCTCGAGGCCACGCCCCCCGCCCGCAGCTCGGGCGCCACGCCCCCCACCGCCGCAGACCACGCCCACAGCTCCTAGCCCCCGCTCCCTAGGATAATACGCGCCCCTCGTGGCGGAGGCCCCGCCCCCTTCGCGCCTGGCCCCGCCCTCCACCTGGCCACGCCCCCCACCTGGGCTCCGCCCCCTCGCCCGGGCCCGCGGGCACCTGCAGCGCGGCGGGGGCCATGGGCGAAGCGGCGGCCGGGGCAGCGCTGGGGCTCGCGGCGCTGCTGGGTGAGCGGGAACACCGGGAACACCGGGAACACCGGGAACACCGGGAGCGGGGACCCCGGGAACCCCGGGAACACCGGGAGCGGGGACGCGGGAGCACCGGGAAGGGCCCTCGGGGCGCCCGTTCCGCGCGTTATCCACCCCGCCCGCAGCTTTAACGCCCCGCCGCGCGTTAATTAACGCCTATTAAGCGCGTTAATTAACGCCTATTAACGCCCGTAATAGCAGGGGTTGTTATTCTTAACGTCGCGCTTAATACCGGGGGGAATACCGGGGGTTAACGGCGGCCGGGTGCTCTCCCCAGCCTTTATTTTATTTTATTTCTATATATTCATATATAAAAATGCTTATCTATTATAAAAATGCTTATCTATATATATATAAGATGTTTTATATTGCGTATATATCGAAATGTTAAAAATGATTACGTATATTATCATTTTTAACATTTTTATGGGTTTTGTAGTTATTATTTTATTTTTATTATTATTTTTTTCGTGTGTTTTTCTCCCATAATTCGGATTCTCCGGAGGCTCGGGATTTTTTTCTCCTCCTGCTCCCCCCTCTCCGCCCTCCCGCCAGGGTCATGGGAAAAGCGCCGGGCGCTTTTCCCACCGGATTTCACTCCCGGGTCCCGGCGGTTCCTATCGGCTCCGGTTATAAATAGCCGAAGTCCCGAAGAGAGGAGGAGAARGGGAAAAAAAAATTATAAAACCCCCAAAAAAGGAGATTTTTCGTGACCTTTCCAACAGGCTCCCGGGTTTTTTTCCGACCGGCTTCTCCGCTCGCTCCGGTTCGGCCGCTCGCCTTAAATCAAAGCTCCCGGTTTAATTCCGGGCTCGGTTTCACGGCTTAATCCGAGCGCCCAAGGCCACGGGGCGAAATCCCTAAATCCCCAAATCTCCTTTTCCCCCCAGCTCCCATTTAATCCCCCACGTCCACTTTTAACAGGCTGGAAAAAAAAAAATGGGCTTTGCCGGCAGGAATCAAGGCCGGGAAAACCTTGTGGGGGGCTACTTTTCTCTGGGAATATCAAGCTGGGAATAGCAGGTATTTTCGGAAAAMCAGCCTGGAAAATTTTCCTGCAGATTAGCCGAAAGTTCAGGAAAAAGCGGCTTTTTTAAAAAGGATATTTCCGGGGTTTCTCCCCCAAGTTTCATCCCTTATTTTTCCTAATTTCCCGTTATTTCTCCCCACGGACGCCACCGCTATATGCCCGGGATTAATTTTTAGAGCCGATTAACGGCTTAAGTGCACGAGGGGGCGGATTTGAGGTGGCGAAAGGTGGCAAAAGACGGAGCCGGTGCCAACGGGAGCCCTGGGCTCGGCCTTCCCGCCTGGCATTCCCGTGGCCTCTTCCCGGGCCTCATTAGGCTTCAGGGTTAACGTCCCGACTGGCAAATCCTCCCTGGATTTACGCCCCCCCATAGTGATATTGGGCTCCCACACAGAGATTTAATGTGGATAAGGAATAATGGGGAGGAAGGGATGTGTCCCCCCTCTCCCTCTGTATCCCAAGCCGGAGTTTTCCTTGGGCGCCCGGAACGGCCTCGAAGCGGCTCCTCCTGGAGCCGGATGGGGTGGAGAGGGCCCGGGAAATCCGGCAGGAAAAGGCTCATTTCCCAGGGGGAAAACACCCGGATAGGGGGCTTTTCCGATGGGATATTGCGGATTTTGGGGTGTCCGGGGCTTTAACCTGCGTTTTCCCGAGAGAGATGCAGGGATTTGCCAGGAAACGGGGCAAAGCGGAGATTTCACCCGGGGTGGGGGAAAAAAATAATTAAAGGAAAATCCGCCTAGGAGCGAAGTTTCCAAGCAGGAAAGTGGCTCCCCCCTGCCCCAACAGCGGAAAATAATCGGAGCAGCCTCCRGAGCCCCGTCGGGATTTAAGGATTTATCCGCCCGGGCCGGGTTGCGGCTATTCTTAGGCGGCGGTGATGGTGAGGCCGAAGGCATCCGGCGGCTTTTCCTGGGGGGAACGGGCGCCCGGTGGCGTCCCGAGGCGGATCCGGATTCGCCGCATTGTCCTGCTCCCGTTATCGGCTCCGGCAGCGTTTCCTGCCAAGGAGCCGCCGGGAAGCGGGGCGGATGTCTGGGAATGTTGGAGCGGGGGGGAGGGATAAGGAGCCAAAGCGCCCGCTGGGAGGAGGTTGTAAATCCCCGGCAGGTGTTTTTTTGGAGGGGATGGAATAACAAAAGCGGGATTCCGGGAGCACCGTGCACGCTCCGGTGGTTTTCCAGGGATCGATGGGCTCTGCTGGCCCCCGGGCGGGAATGCTGCCGCGCGATGGGGAAAATACCCGGCACGCGGAGCAGGACGTGGAGCTGTGCCAAGTGTGGGAAATTACCCGGTTTGGGAAAACGGACAGCGGAGGGAATGAGGTCTGGGGTGGGGGGATCACCCATGTGGGAAAATTGACACCTAAATACCCGTGTGGGAACAGGGAAGGGTAGGGAAAATAAGCCGGCATCGGGAAAGTTACCCGGTGTGGGGAAAATACCCGGTATGGGAAAACACCTGGTGTGGGAATTCACCCGCTGTGGGAAAACACCCGGAAAGGGGATGCTCGTCCCCTCTGCGGCCGATCCCATGGGAATTCCCTCTCCTGCCGGCTCTTGCCAGGGTCTTTTCCCACTTCTCGCAGCCGCTTTTCCCCCTGTGTTTGTGGAAGCGGGAATACAGAAGGCAACGTATCCCGTAGGGAYTTTATTCCTAAAATCGGAGCCTGTAAATGCGGCGGCTTTCGGAGGGGGCTCCCGAAACCTGGATCATCCCCCCCGTTATTTATCATTCCTTAAATAACGACCTTAACGAAGGGAGCTCCGGCACGGGGCGGGATGGAGAGCGGGAATGAAGGAGCGGAGATGGGAGCAGCTCCGGCTGTTCCCGGGGCTCCCGCCCGGCTTCCCGGCACCCTCCGGCTCTGGGGTTCGGCAACGGGAAGAGGACGGATGGGATTTATTCCCTGTTTGATTTTGTGCTTTGTTCTATATTATTTCATGTCTATATTGTCATGCATTTTAATTTTGATTTTCATGGCGATTTTAAGATTATGTATTTGCTTTTATTTTGGATCTTCTAGTTGGTTTGGGATTTGACCTGATGTGGGACTTTATGGTGTATTTTATTTGTGATTTTGTTATTTTTTTTTATTTGTGGTTTTCTTATTTCAATTTTGATTTCAAATTTGATTTCAATTCTCATCTTATATTTCATTTTCACATGTATCTTCTATTTGATCTTTATTTGTGGTTTTAACTCGCGGTTTAATTTGTCCTTTTATTTGTGAGTTCAGTTTTGATTTCAGTTTTAATCTCGAGCTGCTATTTGATATTAATTTTAATTTTGGTTTTGCACATGCTTTCAAGTTTGAACTTAGATCTGAATTTAATTCTGGCCTTATATTTGACTTTATGTCTCCCATTATTTTTCCATCCCCACCTGACTCCCCTCATCATCCCCACCCCATCCCCTCCACATCCCCATCACCCTCCTCATCCCCATCTCCATCCCCATCCCAACCATCCCATCCCATCCCCATCCCTGTTCCCACCTCATTCCCACCCCTACTCCACCCCATCCCCATGCCCACCCCATGCCCA